CAGTCTCCCCAGGACCCTGTCCACGTCATCGGGAGTCACAGAGTCAAACTCCTCCCAAATAACAGTCTCAAGACCTGCTCCTGTCACCTCCCCCGGGGCCACCCAGTCGGAGTCCAAACCCTCTCGGATCCGAGCGACTTTGTCATGCAGATACTGTGCAAACTCCTCAGCCTTCCCCGCCAGGGGGTCCCCCCCCCCAATTGGAGAAGGGAGCGGGTCACCCTGAAGAGGGAGGCTGGGCGATTATCTGATGACGCAATGAGGGCATAAAATATGTAAGGAAAAGAATCCGAGAAGATTTGCATCCTGATTGCATTACATGTACCGTGAAACACCCAGTCAGTGTTATGATCTGGGGTTATATGACATCAAGCGGTGTGGGCAGAATTTGTGTGATTAAAGGGAATATAAATGGCCAAAAATACATTAATGAAATACTTGAGCCCAAACTGAAACCTTCCACACATTATCTTTTCTAAGACAAGGAAGCATTTATATTTCAACAGGATTCAGCTCCATGTCATGTTGCTGCTGTGTGCAAAAAGTGGTTTCAAGATAATCATATTCCACTGCTGGAATGGCCTGGGAATAGCCCGGACCTTAACCCAATTGAAAATGTATGGAGCCGAATAAAAATACTTGTTAGTCAGAAGCGACCCAGCAATAAAACCCAGTTATCATTCAATCTTGGTTTCACATTATAACAGCTGCAGAACTAAAGGAATTGGTTCACTCCATGGGAAGACGTTGTAAGGCTGTAATTCATGCTAAAGGTTACCAACTAAGTATTAACTGACATGGTGGTAATTTTTGTATATCTCATTTTTTCTATGGTGATAATTTTTGTATATCTCATTTTTTTCTATGGTGATAATTTTTGTATATCTCATTTTTTCTACATGTTTCACTTTTCCTCTTTATAACTGCTATTTAATAGCAAATCCTTCATAAAAGTTATTGCATTACATTTTTGATTAAATTATCTTTGCAATGATATATAATTTTATGGTACTACTCAAAAAAAGTGGTGTTATTAGCCATTAAACCTCAGATGTATACTTTTCCCAAAAGGTTTCCACAATTTTGGCCACTACTGTAGAATAAGATTAACAAAGGGTTCAATTTAACTGTTGTCTATGGAGATTCTCAGTCATCCAGATCATGGTTGTCCCAAAGATGCTTTTTCTAGAGGCAATTAGACTTTCTTGTGTGTTTTTTTTTTAAGACATTTCGCTTCTCATCCAAGCTTTTTCAGCTCTGAAAGATCCTCAGGAGGATCTTCAGCCAACACAACATATGTGCACACTTTAAACCCAAGAATACACTAAGCAGAAGCTTGTCCACCCCAAGGATAAAACACCCAGACACAAACTAAGCAACATGGTATATGCAGTACAATGCAGTGAGACATGTGCAGATGTTACGTTGGGGAAATCACTTCATAAACACAATGTAGGAGAAAAAACACATCAAGACAAAATTCAGCACTCCATCTACATTTAAAAGACAAAGGCCACTTTTTTGAGGACAGGAAAGTCCACATTTTGGACAGAGAGGATCGCTGGTTTGAAAAAGGGGTCAAAGAGGCCATCTATGTCAAAATCGAACAGCCCTCTCTCAAGAGGAGGAGGGATACAACATCATCTATCTCCAATCTCCAGTCCTTTCAGCAGTTCCAAGAAGGCTCCATACACATTTGCACCACTCAAGGGACCTTGAAAACACAGATAAACTTCCAAGTGGCCTCAACGACTCTCTAAAAGAATGAAAATGACCAGCTGTCTGCAAGGAATATAAATCCTTCCATTCCCCACCATCCAGTCAGAGCTGAAGAACCTTCTTAGATGAGAAGTGAAACGTCTTCAAAGAAAAACAAGAAAGTCCTATTGCCTCTAGAAAAAGCACCTTTGGGACAATTTAGCTGTTAGCTTCTGAAAACTTCCAATTTGTCCAAGTTTTGTATTAATGCCTTATTTAAAAGCTCAGCATTTACATTTAAAATATTTGAGAAATGTATATGTCTTTACTATCTAAATTTTGCAATATCTGATAAATTTCAACCAACGCTATTTGAAGAGTAAATTTCTTTTCTGCGCAACTTTTTTCAGCCTATGCAGTAAAAAGAAGGATATTACCCAACTTTATTCAGCTAACATCCATCGCTCTGAAGAATTGTTGGCACTTACAGGTAGTACTAGACATATTAGGGCAATTGGAATCAGGATTGCCATCACTAAGAAGATGTGATCATAAAGTGCAAACTACTTTGCATAGAAATGACAATAAAAGTAATCCTGCTGCCATCATTAAATGAATATCAAAGTCGTTAGATGAGGCAACTTCATGCCAACTTTCCTTTCATTATAGAGCTACAAATTTTATTTCTCAATAACAATAAAATCTCCGTATTCATCTTTTTTGATGATATAAACAATTATATACTGTATAAACAATGATATAATCTGAGTGCTAACTTTTTCTTTTTGCTTTCCATGGAGAAATGCTTAGCAGGGTTGTATCTTACTTTTGAAGCAGCTCAATGGAAGATCTTTTCAATATCTCATATTCTTCTGCTATTGTTTGCAGTTTCCGATTATGCTGAAATAATTGTTCAATATCATTTTGTGCCCGTTCAGATTCTGTCTGCTGTGCTTTCAATAGAGATTCCAGATCTTCATTTTTCCTTTCTGTATCCTTCAGTATTGAGGCAAGCGTCCTAGCCTTTTGGAATTTTGCAAAATGACAGTTCCATTGTGTGAATGAAATGTTAGGACACTAGACCAATGAACCATACTAATGCTAAAGCAACACTTAAGGCTTTTACATTTTAAGACAGCAAACTAGCCTTTAAAGCATAATTTGGAGATATACAAATATCTACAATCATAAAAGGACAATGTTTTTATTCCAAGCAAGTGAAATCCTAATCTAAAGTTTATTTTCAAATACAAAACAAGGCAGATTATATGAGCAATTTTGTACTGACAGATGTACATACATAATAAATGAATCCTTATATGATAATTCTGCTTTACCCACCTCAGATTCAGCTTGAGCTCTCTGGCAACGATACTGGGCAATAAGTCTATCAGCTTGAGAAAGAGCTAATGCCTTTGCTTCCAAAAGGTCCTGCAACCTTGTTTCCTTAGACTAAAAAGAAAATTATTGCAAAATGAACTGCACATTCAGAGCATGCACATGAAAAAAAAAGTCTGTTAGATATACTCACTGCCAATGCAGACAATTTCTGTTCATATACTTCCATTATTTCAGATACCCTGATGTCTGTGACTGATTCCTTCATCTGTTGGGAATGTTCATATTATAAGCTAAAGCAATATGTAAATCTTAATTCAAAATTGTACCTATATGGACAAATAAAAAACTTGACATGAGGAATGACTACACGAGTTCAATTGACAAAGTGACATCATACAAACCTGGGTATTAATGATATGAATATAATTATTGAAATATTGCAAAATAAATTTTTCTGTGCCCCTATCACTAAGTTTATAAAAACAGCAAATGAATATTCATTAATTTCTATATTAATGGATTCTATAACACATCAATTATATGGCGCTGTATATAATCATATATATTATCTTACAAAATATATTGATTATATGTATAGAATCATATATATTGTCTTACAAAATCAATTTACTTCATTTCCTTCATTCAAATATTTAGTGGAGTTTGTCCAAATTTCTGGGTACTGCAGATTCAAGTCCCATACTGAGCTACACTATACTGCGGTTTAATATATCAAGACAAAAATGTTTTCATGTTTGTGTTAAAAGCACTAACCTCCAAGCCAGATTGGAGTTTGTGAATCAGGTCCTGAATTTTGAAAGTTGCAGCATCACCATCATTGGGATGGCAAACATTAGAGGATTTTACTGAATTTACATAAGTCATGGATGCTTGCAGGTGACTTCTTTTAGAGACATGCTCAGATTCCTGTTGTCTGTAAGCATTATTGGCTGCAATACTCTCACCAAGCCTAATAAAAGCATTCACAAAAGACAATATTAGTGGGAAAGTGTCTGTTTTATAGAATAAGCTCAAAATGTGAAATACTGGCAGTGTCTCAAGATAGATTTTCAAAAATATTTATGAAAGACAGTATTTTTTAAAGAAACAATAGGAAACTTACACTATGGCAGGAAAATCTGGCAACGGGGCTGCTTCAAATAATATTCTAAGCCCTGCTTGAACTTGTGCCCTGTGGTCTGATGTTAAAGCCAAAGCCAAAGGGGTAACCAAGCGTTGGTCCTAGATACAGAGCACTTGTTAGTTAAACAAACCTTTTTTTTTCTTTCAAAACAGCCAGCAGTGGTTTAAACAGGTTTTTGCACAAACAGTACAAGTGATAGATGTTTTAGCATCACCTTCCTTTCAGCCTCTTTTCATCTGCCCAGGTGATATTTATGTTTTTAAAGGCTATGGAGGTTGGTTTGATAAGTCTAATAGTCACTGTTAGAAAATGATCAGAATGACATGCATCATTTTTAGAATGATTTAATATAAATATTTAAAACTTTGTACCTGAAGAACTTTGTAAAAACTGACTTCCATGTTAGGAACCAGCTGCTTAAGCTTACTCATCAGATCCAGTGTTTTTAAGATTAGATCAGCAGCAAGTTTGCTAAAAATGTCAAGAAAGCATTTTATAATGAATAAACATTCAAAATTAAAATAATTACTTTTACAACTCTACGAAACCTATAATCAAGGGGAATGTAAAATTAAATCAAGAGAGCAAGTAATGGCAGAAGGATATAGTTGTCAATGGTTTTCCACTTACAGATATCAAGAGGGTTAAAAAAATAAAAAGACATGGTTTGGAGCAAAGTAAGGTAGAATTTGAAGTACCATTGTGTGTAGTGATGATAAACACGTAATAGCTAAAAAGTTTAAGCTTTTGTGGAAATTTCAAACAGGAAAAACAAGTTAAAGATTAAAGTGGGCTAAAAATTTCGGTTATAATATACAGATGGATCATTGGGAAAATATGTAACTGAAATGTTTTAAATTCTGCCACTTTCAGTTGGACTCATCTTTTGGAAGTGAGGGCAGAAAAATCAGAAGCAAGGTTAGATTTGCATAACCTTTGATAGAGTTCCTGATTTTTCCAAGAATTCATCTACTTTATATTTAAATGAATATACACTCCCACTTCTATCTAGACTTTCTTTTGAATAATGAGGTGGAACTGACATACATAACTCCATGGTTATTGGATTCATTGTTTAGGAATCCTGTAAAGTTTGAAGTATAAAGTGTTATGCTTATAATAAGAGCCTATTATGATTCAATAGTACTCTGAAAAACGTTTGTGTTTTTAACTTGATGAAAAAAGAATGGCAAAGTTAAAAAACAGTAATTGTTCAATTATTGCAACCATATACTTATACATTAAATTCCATCTAAAACAGAAGCACAGGCTATGAATTTTAGGGAGACTTTGTTAGCTATAAAGGCTTCACAAAAATATAATAGGGACTAGTCCCTGCAAAATTGCAATTTATCCTTTTGAAATACAAAGGTATGGGTTGGAAAAAAATAAAAAGTGATAAAAACCCTAGCTTGTGCTTACCTCAATTCACAGTCCTTAAATTTTGTCCCAAAACTAAAATCAATGCCACTAGAAGTAAATTGGTGTTCTATTAAAGTAGTACACTTGCTAGCTGTTAAAACTTTAGTGACATGCATTTTCAGCATATCATCTGCACAAAGAGGTACATTCTGTTAAGGACTTTAAATGAATACTGTGTATTCCTCACATTCTGACTGCTTTGTTTAACAACCTTTGAAAGTTATGATGGTTGGAGAAAAAGAAAGCAGGAATTAACATCAGACAAACAATCCAAAGACAATACCTTAATCAAGAAACTACAAGGAGGAAAATTACATTTCTACCAATACTGGAAGCTTTTATATTAACAGAGAGCAAACAGGAAGCAAACTCCACACCTAGTTGGGTAATAAATCATCTGCAAGCAAACAACAAAACTCAGAAACATCAAGGGTTCCACAGTTCAACCATGAGCTACCTATATTCTCTTCTGTTTAGGAAAACAAAGCAGCTTTGCAAACAATCCTCACATTGTAGCATCCTACAGTCACATGAGTGCTATTTGCATACTTCACAACCAGCTTCAAACAAACAGAATTTATGGACAGCATGGAAGCGAAATTGCAATTTGCAGTTACATGATATCTTTCTTAATGACTGTAGGAATTTGCTTAATGTCAAAAGCAGATGTGAAGTTGTAAGTTCCCTGATTTTTCACTTAGACATCATGGCACTTAGTGACAAGTTGCTGGTCCCAATTGGGATCAGTAAACGAAGATTGGCTGTAAGTAAAACTCCCTAGTGATGCAAAATGAAAGTCTAAACAGGAAAATATATCTAATTCAAAGTAACGTTAAAAACTTGGGAATCTCCAAGCAATGCCCACAATAACTGTCACATGAAGAATGTTCTTCTGTATTTTATCACAATTTCCAAAATAAGTCAAATAATAAATTATAATTTTATTATCGTCAGACTTTTCTTGATTTCTGTGGAATATTATAAATTCATAATGGCAAATATTTCTGCTGGATATATAAGGTGTCTTGCAACAAAAATCCAGATGTTGAAAGAATAATAAGCAACATCAAGAAATTTGTCAGATAGTTAAGTGCTAATTATTGATATATTAATACAGAAAATGGATTTCCTATATAAAACACTAAGAAAAACGTTTAAACATTTTAAAAAATGTTTCAATGTCCTAATCGGTTTTAAAATTATCTAGATGAGTGACTCTATTTTGTCTTAAATCTTTTTCCTTTTTGCACTGTTATCTAATAGAAACGTTGTTTTTAAGCTTTATATAATTCAAATGTATTTATCTTATTTCAAATAAATGATTTTCTGACAATCTTCAATAACAAAAAGTTACAAGAAGGATATTTATCAAGATATCAATAGTCTTGATCATTCGTTCACATTTTTTCTTTGCCAACAGATCTTCCAGTATGTGATCAGGAAAATGAAGATGGTCAAGAAGAATGGGCAAAAGAAGATCCACAAAGCGCTCAGCAGTTGCATTATTGCCTGCATCAATAACATCCTATAACAGAAATATTATCAATTTAATGCCATTGATACAATTGAATAATTATCCTATGTCACCAAACTCTGTGGAGTATAATTCATTATTTTTTTAAAATGCAACCTAACCACAAAATTTTACATTAATTTGATTTGATCTTAATTTTACTAATTTTTGGTTTTTAAAAGGTTACAGTTTAGATATATTAGCTTAAATAGACTAATTTTAGCCACTGTTTTACAAAAATATCATTATTAATTGTTGATCTGATTTTCATAATCGCAATGTTGAGTATCTTTCCCTTTTTAAAAATATAATAATGAATTATTTTATTACAAGAACTTACAAAATTGTAGGTGACAGGTCCTTACTTAGAGGAGGAAAAAATATTTTTTAAATTTAAATTTTTGAAAATAAGAAAATTTGTAAGAACTTTAATTCTTGCCTAACTATTTTCAAATGTTCATTTATACAAATGTTTTACTACTTCAGAGGCCCCTAATAAGTACACACAGGTTAAGAGGTGCCTTTATATACTCTTCCTCTTATGTGATCAAATGCCAACAATGTCCTTCTGATTCTATGCAGAACAAACAGGACAAACTTTATATAAATGAATTAATGGACATAATTTTGACATCAGAACTTAAAAATAGGACAAAATAATAGTGTTTTAATCTCCCAGGACACTCTGTTGCAGACCATAAAGTGACTATCTTAAAAAAATGATACTGTACAAAGAGTACTCATATTTCAAAAGGTTTCAGCCAATCTTAAAAAGGGTTTAATAAATACAACATTTTTAATACATTACAACTGCTACTTGTAATGATCATCATCATTATCTAGATTTATTATAGCTCCTGTCCCATCCAAGAAAACTCTGGCAAGCTATAATCTGTAATCTGTTTCACATGCATCTGTATAACAAACTTGTCTTCCTTTTCCTTCTCTGGCATCCTAATTTAAATCTGGTATCAGACTAGCTACTCCTTCCATCTGATGAAGTGAATTGAAGTTCATGAAACAATCAAATTTATCAATAAAACAAACTATTTCTTGATATTTTTTTTGCTACTATAAACATTCCTCCTGCAAAAAAAACTAGGAGTAACCCAATACAACAGCCAAAACGTTGAATTCATTACCTCAAATAGCTCCCGGAATAGCTCCAAAGCAAGATTTGAACACTTCTCAGATACTTCCAGTGGCTGGTTTGACCAGTGTACTAAGACAATAGATGAGTCAGAATTCTTAGCACGAGTTGCAAGTCTTGTACTTGCACAGGCTGCTACATTTGGTTCCAGTACTGTTTGACGTACAATATGACGGAGTTGTGTCACTGAACAAAATGCAAGTAGCAATTCTAATATCTAAGAGAAACAAGAATTATGTTTTCTGTTTTCGAAGAATAACATTCTTTACACTAGTATGTAAGACAATTTCAGATTTCTGATGCAAAGCTTTATTGCTGAAGCACAATATTGCTTTAAAATACCTTACAAAATTAAAACGCTATCAAATTGTTTATTTCACTCAGTATTTTAAGCAGTTATAGCATTGAAAATGTACAATTTTTTTTTAAAAGAAATTTAGCAAACTATCTATTCAAGAAGATGTAGTTTATCTCAGGGCAAAACATACCATTAATTATTTTGGATTGCATCTGACTATTCCAGTTCATGTTTGGGGGCTTATCAAGAAGATGTTGTGTGAGCAAATAAATCTGTGAAAGTGTGACAAATAATAAACAGGCTCTTACGGTATTGTGGCCTGTAAGAAAAAATTGATAGTATTTCTACTATCTACATTTTCAGTTGCTTTTTTTAATATTAGAAAGAAAGACAAAGCGATAGACATAAAGAGTCTAGGAAAGTTACACAGAACCACAAAATGGCTATTATAGATCACAAACACAGAAAATGAAACAGAGAGGAAAGGGCACAAAGGGACACAGAGACACATACTGATTCACACAGAGGGGGGTCAGACACAAGTAAAGAGCAATCAGAAGGACGAAACATCTACACAAGCATACAAAGGAACAGAGAAAAATAAACCACTCTTTTCTTCTGATATTCAATGACTGGAAATAATTCCTTTTCCTTATCAATACAAGGATGCTATTATTCCAAGAATCATTGAGGCCTGACCCTTCCGTAATTTCTCTCCAACCAATTTTGTCAAGCAAAGGAAATTTTTGTTGGTGCTGTCAGTTTCTCTGGAATGGAATTGCTATTTGTATTGTAAAGGAACAATATGACTGAAGCGGTTGAAGAGGAAGAAGAAATATGCAATGAAGCATCCAGCTGGAGCAAGTAGAATAAGGAAGGAAAATTTGCAGAGAGGATAACTGATGATAGCATAGAAAAAGAGCTAATTTAGAAGGACAATGAGTAGACAAATGTGACCTAGGAATCCCAAAGAAAGCTATCTAGAAAAAAAAATCTTAACATATTAAATTTAATAACTGGGTGGACAAAGAACTGAAACAGTTAAGGAACTGAATGGCAGCTAGGTAAATAAATGTATATCCAAGTCTTGGAAAATCAATGCTTTCAATTTTAAAAAAATATAAAATGATTAAAGACTGGTTAATACACCAGAAAGTATTGTTTGATCAAAGAATATTTTTAAAAGATTGAATATTAATTCTCTTTGTTTTTCTCGGTGTGTGTATGTATCTAAGAAACCGAGAGCTTTTTTTACATACAGTTCTTTTTTTATTTCAAGTTATAGCATGTTAGCACAGGCAGGGAAATAAAGTTATACCATAGTTGAACTTTTTTGGGTGGGAAGTGCCTTGAGACAGTGTTGACTCCTGGCAACCACCTGGACAGTCTCAGAATGTTGTTGCCAACATTTCCTAGGGCTGAGACCATGAATGGTCCAAGGCCACCCCATCTTGGCTTCATGCCTAAGGCAAGACTAAAACTCGTGGTCTTCTTGTTTTTAGCTTGCTGCTTTAACCACCACACCGAACTGGCTCTTTCACATTTTATTTATTTATTTATCAAAATTAGGAACTGCCCATCTCCATCACAGAGCAACTCTGGGCAGTGTACAATTAAAATATAAAAGCATAAAGGCTATATATATTTATATTAGGAGAAAAACAGGATTAAAATAATAAAAATTAAAAAGGCGAAAGGAGGCCCTTCAAAGTGCTAACCAGCTCCATGGCTGCACGGTCCTCTGTGAGTCCCAAGAAAGTCAGCAGAGCCAGATCTTCAGATATTTCTGAACAGCCAGGAGAGTGGGGTCCCAGAGAATGTTCCAAAGAGCGGGGGCAATGGTTGAACTAGTTTCTAAAATATGAAATTGGTAACTTTAAGGAGAGATTTAGCTTTATCAAGGCTTTATCAATGTATGTAAATGGAAACTTGTTTTCCTGATGTTAAGGAATGGATTCAAGATACACTGTATATTATTAACTTTTGAAACATTTTATATTCTAAAAATGAGAAATGGAATAATATGTTTCTATATGGCCTAGACCAGTGATGGCGAACCTTTTAGAGACTGAGTGCCCAAACTGCAAGCCAAAACCCACTTATGTATCATCGGGTGCCGGGTGGGCATGGCCCATTGGGTGGGCGTGGCTGCGGTGGTAATGGCAGACTGGGTGGGACTACAAAGTTCAATCAATTCCAACTTTGCAAGATCTTTTTTTTTCCCCGCGATAAGTTGAAATTGATTGATTGAACCTTTTTTTTTTTTGCACACGGCAGCAGAGGCCTAAAGCAAAAAGGTTTTATAAAACCCAGCTGAAGGCCTAGGACTGGGGCGACGGCGCGCATGCCCACAGAGAGGGCTCTGCATACCACCTTTGGTACGCGTGCCATAGGTTCGCCACCATGGGCCTAGACTTAAGATTAATGATTTAAGATTAAACTTAAATTGATATTACATGCTTCTTACTTGTTTTTATTAATTTCTTTTTCTTCATTAATGTTAAGCTTACTTTAATGATTTGAATTATATAGATTTTGTAGATGTTATGTAGATTCACTAATATAACTTTTATTATTGCATTTCACCAATATAAAAAAATTACTAAACACACACACACACAATTATTGTGCACCTAGAAAGTACCTTTGCTGAAGAATCAGAATCTCTTCCATGAAGGAGGCCTATCACCTGATTGAGACAAGATGTAAAATGTTCATACCTATAGTTATGAAGGAAAAAAGGAATAAAAAGGAATACTGAAATTATGAGTATTTTGATAGGCAAAAATAAAAATTATTTGGTAAGGGATTTATCATACCCTAGCTGAAATACTGCACAGGTCGTTTTCAGTTAGTGACTACTCACTCAGCAAATAGTTGCAATGACAATGAACAAGTGGTACTTATGACTGTTTTTTATGCAGTTGTGTGATCCTTGACAACCAACTTACACTTATAATAGTTGCAGGGTTCTATGGTCACGTAATCACCATTTGCAACTTCATTGCTATTTTCCACAAGCAAAGTTAATGAGGAAGCTGGCAAGCAAAGTTGTATGTTGTTCTTGCTGTTTTTTTCCAAGGAGCCCCACTATGAAATACAAGATTGTATTCAACAGTGTGCTTGCACCAAAGCGGCTTCTTTCCAGCTTACATGCACTTGTGCAGTGCAGCAACATCCGCTTCCAGTATATATACAGTGGCATTATGGATAAATGCTTGTGGCTATGTGGCATGATCCTTGAAGCAGCTGTTCCAAAACTGATATCCCCTTATGGGTGTGATCCCAGTAACAGAGTGCCTTGCTTTGCTCCACTCACATTAGCAAAACAAAACAAAGGTCTTTATTGCTGGGACTGTGCTGCAATCCCACAAGCAGCTGTCATTTTCAGAGTGGCTGCATTTAGGATCAGCTTGGCGCTATATGGTAAGATCCCAGAAGTGACCACTTGGAAATGTCTGCTTGTCGGATTGCGCTGTGCAGTCCAGCAATGGAGGTGCTTGCTTTGCTAACGTGAGCACTGCAGCATTCTGTAGCACCAGAACATTAGTGAAGTAAATCAAGCCTCTTTGTTGCTGCCATTTTCAGGCCAATCATAAATTGAGAACTACGTATAGATATAGCCAGAGACTTCCTCTTATTCTGTTAATTCCAGCATTCTCAGATTAGTAGAATTAGTCTGGCTAACTAAGCATGAACACAGTTGGTAAATGAAAACCTAAGCTGTACATTAATCTGTTAATGGAGTAGAATAAAAAATTCAGATGTTTACCAACAAAATGAAAAGTCTGAAAGGAGGAATGTAACACGAATGTTTTTTTTTAATTAAAATTTTAGCAAAGACTAGCTGTATCTAAACTGATCTAGCCCGATTATTGACAAGCCCCTGACGGAGACTGATCTCTTATTACCTTATATTAAATAGAAATTAAAGCTATGGGAAAGTACTATAGAATTCAATTCATATCTTAAGTTTGAAAGATCCAAAGAATCAAAGAAAAGATTGGAAAAATATAGCAAATCAAATCATTCAGTAAGAACCAGCTAGGACAAATGTTCACAGGAAATATAAAATGTATTTATATACAAATAGAGGGATGTAAACTTTTTTATTATTTATTATGTAAAGCCTACTTGGTAAGATAATCTGCAATCTTGGGATTCTTCAGGAGATCCATAAGCAGATCCACAGAATATTTTCTTGTTAGTGTTCCATCACCATTCACAAGGATATTAAATATTAATTGGAAAGTCTGGTGAATATTTCTGGAATGAAACAGCTAAACAAAAAAAACTGATTTACAATCATATGAATTTTACATTACAGATCAAGTCAGTTGCATTCAATGGAAGGAAGGGGCTATCAGACTTTTGGTCTTGTGGGACTTCAAGTTGTCTTACTTAGCAATCTGAGGGTATCAAGATCATAATGAGACTGTCCCAGAAGATCACAGCCCAATTTAGGACTCCAAATACTAGATCTGATTTTCGTCTTTGAATATATGAGATATGTACTGATTGTGGCTATTTGTATCAATACTTTGTCACAGGCAAATCACTCACTGGTGTCTTTAGAACTTCCAGTAACAAGGCTTTCTTTAGGGAAGAAGGACATAGTCAGTCTATCCAGATCACACAGTTTGGATCTCCAGAATTTCCAAAGAGTACTGAAGGAATTTTCCAAAGCTACAGTATGCCAGGCAATGCTCTGGGTTGCCCAATCAACAGCAGAATTTGATAGGATTATTGTTAAGGGATATTGTTATTAGACTGCAATATTTTTTAAAAAAAGTCTTGTTTGTTAAGGTAAGCTAATCAGAGCTATTGGAAATTAAGTGATGTAGAAACTATAGCAAATAAAGAAATAAATACTATGCATAAGCTTCTTTTAAACTGAGTCAGGCAGGCTTACCTTTTCTCCAACTTCTTCATTTAATGTAAGACTTGATAATATAGAAAGTGCAAAAACAACCATTGTTAGACTACTGTGGCCCAAGAAACTGATCAGAGTGCGGTAAAAACCTTTCACATTCGTCTAATACAAAGAGGAAAAAAAATCTTTAAAAAATGCTGTGAGATTAAAGTTACAGCCTAATTCAATACATTATATACACTACAATAATTTTATATTAGTTGAAAAACTGAATTTGGGGACCCAATGTACTCCTCAAAATCATACAATTGAAATATCTAGCCAAAATTATTAAAAATGCAACTATTTTAATTTTTGCTCATCAAAGCACTAAGGCTGCACATAATCAGAGTGACAAATAATACTATACAATCCTAAATATATATACCTAAATAATGTATAGGCTATGACTACCTTATTTGCAAAATACTATGCTACCTACAATATACTGCACTGCTAACTTATCAGTATTACAATTATATTTACAATTATATAAAGATAACATAATTAAGCAAATTATATGGATAATTTTATTTAGCAACAAAACCTACAGACTCTGCAGTCACAAGATATAACATTCAACATTCATAACAATAAACATGTTCCTTCTTTTAGCATTAATAGTAGTCAACATTCTGAGATCTCTTAACTATGAAAAACTCAGTTTAAACTTTGATCAGTTTCAATCACAGATCTTCACGGACTTCAAAGACTTATCTTAGTTCACACAATCATTTAAGCAAGTAAGAAAACACAGTTGGAAATGTATTAGGAAATGTTAACTTATGTAAACTTATGGTCACAGATGTCTACATTCCATTTAATTATAATGAAGATGGATCTGATTCTTTCATAGTGGAACTGTAGAATAGCAGAATGAAAATTATATTGAAAAAATGAGAATCACCTTAGATAAAATATTTTTGCACAATGAAATTGAATGGGAAAAAACATCATCACACAAAAATAAAAGTTCCCAGATTAAGCAAGTAATTGTTGTGTCCTTTATTGGAACAAAAGTGCTTTGATTTCCAATTATTAAATTATGGAAATATTTTTTTAAAGACTTCAATAAAGCAAATTTCTTACCAATGACTTGATGTATGTCTGAACAGTGAGATTACGTCGACAAAGATTTGCCATAAGTCCTAGGCATGGTATAGTTAACTCATCTTCTGTAGACTGACTGAAGTTTTTAAAAAAGATCATTAAATATATTCACATAATTCAATATTTATTTACTAATAATGATTTTACAAGTTAATCATTATTCATTCAGAAAATATTCACTTTGCTATACAAAGAACCCATTAAATTTAGTATATACATAGATTTGTATCTGTTAAGCTTTATATAACCGAATGTAAATGTTAGTGATTTAAGGCAACATTAAATAAAAATATAAAAACTACTCAAAATACTTTATTAATTTTATTAATTAATAAAATGAAAAAACAAGGTGACTAACAAATGGCTGACAAGAGATTACCTATAGTTATGTGGTCAATAATGCAAAGTGCTAAAACTACTTGTAAATGCTGGCTACATTCTCACATATATCACCTCCCTAAGAAAGATACTTGGATGCATTGAATACTGGGAGACCTATTCTACTAAATGTTCAGGCCAGACCACTTCTACAATAAACATAGGTTGCTTATATAATAACATCAAGGACAGTTGGCTCCTATTGTACATTCAAGCTGTTGGGATTATACTATAGATATTATTTGATGCAGTAGCAGCTGACCAAACAAAAAGAGAGATTCCTGTGACCCAGTCTCATAACCTGTAAAGATACAAAACGTTCTTGGAATTTATTCCAAACTTTAAATCCTGTAGCACATTTTCAGTAGGAATCCCTATCATCAAATATCTAGGAGGACAGAAGTTCCTAGTTTAAGATTCCCCACCAAGGTGAGCATAAAATAATGCTTGACACTCTCATGCCAGGAATAATAAGAAGTTTAGCAAGCAAGTACTACTCTAAAGCTTTAGGTAAGCTTTGTATGTTCAAAATCTTCATAGACCACACTGATAGTAACCATGAGGAATGCTCATAAAGCAAAGCAAGCATTAATATAGAAAGATAAAGTATCTTCTCTTTGTTGCCATTAGTGTGGCAGGAACATCTCCAAACAGAAAGCCTAGTTTAAACTTCTAGAAAACAGTCCAATACACCCCCGAACTTAAAACTCAGTTGACACATATTTCCATGCATCTCAAGACTACATAGGGTTATATTATATACGATAACTGAACTGAAACATTCATGGATAACATATAAATGTACTTACAACTGCAGATTTAGTTAACTATTGCATTTAAGAAACTTACATGCGAAGCATTAGGAAAGAAATTAAGTCTTCAATATTAGCACTTTTCTGCAATATTCTTGCATTGTAGGTCAATTTCTGTAGCAGTTGAATACTCTGTTAAATAAAAAGAAAACCAATGAAAGTATAACTGTTTGCATTAGATTTACCTGCATTTACTTTTCAGATGCATAACCAGATAATATATTATACTATTTTGGTTTTAGAATTTAAATATTTTGTTTCTACCATGGATATTTTATTTAATGTTTGCAATTATTGTAAATGTTCAAGTGCCTTAAAATTGTGGTAGATATAATAATTCAATTGAAATTGTATTAAAATTATAACCTACTAATTGCTTTTTAAAAAAAATCAGTTACTTTAACCAAAACCAAAATAACTATGAAATTTAATTATCAGAGCGCAATATCAAACATTAAAAAACTAATACTCAGATCAAATACTCTTGCTTGATAAATCCATCTCTGTTTTCTATCAACAGGTTTGGTCAATAAAATGTTGATCTGAGTAATGCTTAAAGAGAGATTAATTATTATTACTGTTGCCCATTATTTTACATCTCCGTTAATGTAAAACTTTATGATATAGCTGATGGAGCACAAACATAGATTCATAGTTGTAATACAATTCTTCTATTCAAATAGGGGAACATTTTATTCTTCCAGCTTTCAAGGTTGTTCTTGGCTCAGGTCGTCTTTCAGCTTCTTTATTAAATATATATATATATATATATATATATTTACAGTTTAATATCTTGTAAACTATCCAGACAAATTTATAAGAGGAATACTTTCAACTCCAAGATTCATCAAGATTAAAGGCAGATATGGTTACTGTGGGTACCAGAAACTATTTCCTTAATTGCTGGTTAAAATTGATTTTTTTTTCTTCTATGGGTCTGGCTCAATTGGTTCTCGGAGATTGTTTTAAATCAACCTGGCTAACAAGAGCTATTAGCAAATTCCAGTCCTTAGGATACTTTTGATTCTTTTGAAAGCCTATGTCCATTAGGATTGAAAATGTCAGGAGTTATCTTAAACAATGTATCTGGGATATTGATTTTCATACGGGTTTAAGCCTAGTATCTAATCCTATAGTTATACCCTTAATTCTTTTCAAATGGGCATGTGCCATCATCTTATCTCTCTTCAAGTACTAATTCTGAAATTTCATCGGGCTTTCATCTTGACCAGGTTGGGGGCAGTTCTGCAATTCTGTAGGAGCAGTATAAAACATTCCGTTTCAGCAACATTATGCCTGTGTGAATATGGCTCTATGAAAAGCCTCAGCCATTTGCTCCTTTCCTGCTCTCTGTATTGGTAATCTCAAAAGATATATATTTAGCTCATTAAAAAAAAAACTACTCTAGGAGAGAGCACAATGTTTATCTGTCATTGCTTCTATCTGATCAGGACTCTGTCATATTTTTCCAGGTTGCCCAATTTTATGCTATTATTTGTTGTATTGTCCTACCTATAGCTAAGGTTTAGCATAGTTTTTTGTGATTGCCACTGCTAAATGTACTGTAGTTACTATAATAATGTACTTTATATTATTTCATTGCAATTTATATATTTCTAAAGTTTTATTAATAATAATTACGGATTAATGCATTTTATTGTTGCTCTCTCTGGCCTAAAGGCCACAATAAAGATTTTATTTGATTTGATGTAGCTGTTTTTAGATAAAAATATAAGAAGCAATCAAAGTGTGCTTCTAAACTATGTCAATTAAAAATATATATTTCTGATAGCAATTGTGCAAATACTAATACTATATATTATTCTGGTCTTCCTAATATTTGTATTTCAGCATAGTCTGAAATGCTAAGTATAGTGGATCTGGCAACAACTTACATAAGAGACCATCAGCTGCCAATACTATAAATGCCACAAAAGAACATAATAATAACAATAATAAATAAATGTTATAATAATAATTTATTTCATATAAAGCATTGCATTCTCTTACTTGCAATATTACTGGGTCAATAGGATTTGTAGAACTTCGAAGAATCACACTTGCCAGGGCACCACACAGATTGTAAGCATTCTGAAGGACTTCCCTGGTTTCATTATCTAGAACTATAAGTAACATATATACATGTATCATTAACACTCTAAGAAATATATTCAGAGAAACTGAAAATATTTCAGAAATGAGCCTCCACAAAATCATTTTTTACTTTTACATAGACAGTTAACTCTAACCATTATACATATAAATATAGGTAGTCCTCGACATATGACCATTTATTTAATGACCATTTGAAATTATGAAAAGGTATCTTACAATCAGTACTTGCACTTACAACCGTCACAGTATCTCTGTGATTATATGCTCAAAATTCAGGCAACTGGCATGTAGTTATGATGCTTGCAGAATCGTGGAGTCATGCAATTGCTATTTGCAACCTTCTCAAGGCACTTTTAACAAGCAAAGTCAATGGGAGAAAATGGATTAGCTTAACAACTAAGCAAAAAGGTTAATAAAATTATGCATAACTCACTTAATCACATCGCTTAGTGACAGAAGTTCCAATTACGGTTGTATGTGGAAGACTACCTGTATGCATATATTCAAAATTAAAGCTAACTTAATTTAGCAAACTGAAAACATTTCAACTGTTTTTCTATCTCAGATTTTATATTTTGGAGATAATTCATTTCCGATGAAAATGTCATAATCACTTCTTGTTTACATATTCCACAATTTGTCATAGAAATAAATGAGGTTGTACACAATATGTTACCACATAGTATATTTCATATGTTCATTTTACTTTGTTATTATTTTTACAAGAACTAAACTGTTCTGCTCCAAATGCAATAAATTATTTTTTTAAAATCCTCATTCAAGGAAGTATGATTCTAATAACAATAACTTGTCTTTAATTAAAAATTTAATAGGACAGTCTATTCAAAAAAGAAAGAAATCAGAACCTTCAGTAAGATTATACCACATATCTTCCCAGCTATAAAGCAAGTTGTATATGCAACTCAAATATATTTAAAACTCACCTAACTGAGAAAGCAAGCCTACTGCATTTAAGGTTAATGGAGAGCTTAGATTTGGGTCCTCAATAAGTTCTACTAAGCAATTGAGACATTCACTTGGTAAAATATGGTTTGATGCAAAACATTTTGACAATTTCAATCCTGAGATAACCTGAAAAAAATAAGACAAGTGCTAAAAAAAAGACAATTAAAACTTTTAAGCTAATGGAAGATATAAATATATATAATGACTGTAACAGGAAGTCTTACCTTTTCCTAATAAAATCAATACAACTTATTTAAGTGACGGAACCTGATGTGTGAGAGAGCAATGTGTATACAGTATATATCAAACATCTTCTGTATAGTTGCTGAGAAAAATTGTATGTCTATGAAGTCACCGTAAGTCAAGTTCAACTTGAGATACTCTTTTTGTTTGATTTGCAAATTTCTTGTAAGGTACTTACTTTAACTTGTTGATNGTTGATAAAAACATTTTTTATTACGTAGCAACATCGTTGAAGCAATGTGTGCTTTAAAACTACAATAGGAAGTTTATTGGATGCAAATCACAATATGCAAAGATAAATGAATTAATCCCTATATCAGATTCTTTTTTGTCCTTTTAAAATAGGTAGAGATTTAAACGCTGCCCAATTACTGTGAGGTAAGATGGGCAGTCTATACATTTAATAAACAAAGAAACAAACAAGATGGTATTATCCTCATCATTATATATTTTAAGAAATTTTAAACTATCAAACAACTATAGAAGACAAAACTTGCCGAACAACTCTGTACTAAACATACCTATATTCCACTGGACTAATTTCAGTTTATTAACAAGTCAGGTTATGTATAACTGTAACCTTGTGACTCTTCTGCACAACAGAATTAAAGTATAAATATGCAGCTTGGAAACCAGCTTAAAAATACACTCAACTCAAAGACCAATCAGACTTTAGACTCTTATTTTGCATTAACAATGAAGCACTGGAAGCCTGGTATATGGGAAACATCTCCCTTGATGCTAGCTGCTGGAAGTAACATAGCTGAATCAGAAAAGTGGTACCAAGACACCATTCTGTTTCTTGTTTTTCTCCTCTTTCTCACACCACCATGAGAAGCAGAAGAGAGGGGGGAGGACTTTGTTCTCCCTTCTTACACCTTTTGCAACAGGTAGCAAGCATAAGCAAAGTGCATAAGAGGAGGGGAAGTGGGTTTTGTCACCTTGTCCGCAGAAGTACAGACCAGCTTCAGCAGGGTTATTTTTTATTAGAGGGATGGTAGTAGATACTCCCCGCAACCCAGTCGCAGGTGCAGATTGCAGAATTATTTCCCAGCACTACTGTAACCAGTCAGTGGTTTCTTCTCCCCATTTGCAGTATGACTGATAGTCAACAAAACATCTATCAAAAGACATCTGTTTAAAAACATGTGTTTTGGTATGATTTATCCCCATCCACTTTTGCTCTTTCAGGCAGAATAGTGAGCAATTCTAAGGAAATTTTCACTCAAGGAAGGTTTACAAGGCCTGGCTAAAAATGAACAGATGGACTGTTCAGTCTTATCTCATAGGTGAGGCATCAGTCCTTCTGCTTGGAATCTTTGAGAAAGAATATTAAACAAATCATAAAGAACTCCGCTGCAAGAACTAATTATTTCGTTTCAGAGATTCCATAACCCATCTTCATTTTCCTGGTTTAAATACAATTATTATTAAAAAAAAATTACCTTGCTTTTGTACTTACTTTTATACTGGTCACTCAAGGTGGAAAACATACCTAATATTCCTGTCTCCTAACTTCTCCACAGTAATAATCCTGCAAGGTGGGTTGGTCTGCTACTGGTCTGAATTTTGCTGCTGTAAGAGACTTGACAAAACCTACACTTGGTGTCTGTGCAGCTAGCATTCCTGCATGGAAGGTCCCATGACCTTATAGTGGAGATATAGAGACTAAAGAATCATTCCATTCCCCTTCAGCAGGGAAAAGAAACTCCTCAGCCACTGTGGAGGGAGGAAGGGGTCTTTTTCAGTGGCAGAACAATAGCCCTAGCTCCCACTTTCCCTCCATGTGTTGGCAAGAAAAGCGAGAGCAATGGCTGTCTGGCACAGTAACCCTAACAGACCAACAGCTGCAGCGCAGGGCCAAGTCACTAAACGTATTTGGTGGCTTTTCTTGCCTGTTCCGGGAGAGGCTGACACGTGCCACTAACCAAAACAAAATAATGGCAGGGATGTCTACACAAAGGGTCGAGGATCATTTGAGGACGGTGTCCTACATTCATTTCTTCAACCGTCACTGAAGGTCTTTGCGCTAGGAGCGATCAGGACACAACATATTAGCCCTTAACCACTTCATTTATATATGGATCTTCTGCATATCTTTCAACAGTAGTTCGCAAAAACAGAGGCAGTACTGGGGGAACCGTCACGGAGAAGCTTCGTTAGCGCTGCGGCAGCCGCCGCCAATGATTTGAACGCGCGTTCCTTCTTTTCCTACTTCTAGTACAAAATATCCGAAAGTCGGGGTCGGGGGGGAAAACCGGGTGGTCTACCCAGACTGTCTCTCACCTCTAAACTCCGCTGGAGCAGAGCTGCGTTGGGCTGGGTGCGGGCAGCTCGGTACTGAGAAGCCGCCAAGAGCAGGGACTTCATACACGCCGAGGCGTCCATAGCCTCACCGTCCGTAAAGTCGGCCAGAGACAGCGTTAGCCCTCGCCTCGCCTTCAAAAATTTGTATTTGGCGCCTTGGCCGCCATTTTGCTGCTGTTGCCCCAGTGAAGAAAGCCTCCGCAGCTGGGCGGAAACCTCCGCCGCTCTAGGAAACTCGCTTGCATGCTGGGAACCAGCGAGAAGAATCTTGGCTGGGCAGTTCTCTTCGCCCGCGGTCAGAGCTGCACCGCGTTCTTTGTCCCCAGCCGATGGGAGCTACGGCTAGGTGTAGTTGTGGCCACTGTGTAGGAGAGCTATTTTTACTTTCAGTCAGAGCCTTTCCTTCCGCGAAAAACCATTGAGGTCAGAGAGAAACCGCGGTCCATTTCTCAAAGCGTGTTCGAGAGAAGGGTTTTTGGGTAAAGATCTGCAGGGAGGGGGATTAGGCAAGGCGTTGTAGAATACAAGCAGGTAAGAATAGGAGGAGGGAAATTTTTTTAGAAGTTTACTCTCGTTTTCAGAAGGAAAGGGCTGACGTGCGTTTGATCTGGTTTTAAGAGGTAGAGTTGCCCTCGAGTGAATCTTCCTAAAGCAGGGGTCCTCAACCTTGGCAACTTTAAGACTTGTGGACTTCAACTCCCAGAATTCCTCAGCCAGCAAAGCTGGCTGAGGAATTCTGGGAGTTGAAGTCCACAAGTCTTAAAGTTGCCAAGGTTGAGGACCCCTGTCCTAAAGGCAGTGACTCGAGTTTTCATAGAGAATTGAATGGGGGGAGGGATTTAGTCTGCAATTTTATTCTTATCCGGAAGTAAATCAGCCATGCTTGCTTGTGTCTAAAAATGCTTTGACAATCCATAAAAAAGGCAAGGCATCAAAACATCAACCTACCAAAAGATCCATGACATTATAAACAGCAGAAAATTCGGCATTGCTAAGCTGGGCTGGTAGCATGGTTTTGCTGATGCAATTGTCTATGACCAGAAACATTACTGTATAGTAATTTACCGGATTATAATGGTAATTTGTCAAGGTGAGATTTAAACTGAGCAGTATAACAAGAGTCGGAAGGAACCTTGTATGTCTTCTAGTTCAACCCCCTGCTCAGGCAGGAATCCCTATTATTCTGATTGGATCTTGCGTTGTTTGTACTTTCCATACAAATGATATAACTGCTGAATCCATGGAATTCAATAGTTTATTAAATGACAGGTGGGTCATTTCTTCATGATGTTAATATATGTTATTGTTTCTGAAGGGTACAACTTAATTTAGAATAGTGGTTCTCAACCTGTCGGTCGGGACCCCATTTGGGGTTGAACAACCATTTCATGGGTGTCGCCAAGCAAGGCTGTCTGCCATTTTTTTTGTCCGCCATTTTTTCCCCCTTTTCCGGCAGGTGCCTTACCTCCCTTGAGCTGGGCCAGCTGGTGGTCGACGTGCTCCGTCTCTGCCGCTTGCCAGCTATGCCTCGGCCGGCGCAGGGGGCGGAACCACGCATGCATGGTGCTCCCGGGCAGGGAAAGTCCTCGACTTACGACCGGTTGGGTAGTCCTCGACTTACGACTGGTTTAGTCCTCAACTTACGACCGGTTGGGGTCACGGCATTAAAAAGGTTGAGAACCACTGATTTAGAACAATTAAGCTCTCTAGGATCCATACCCAGGAACTATCCATCCCAAAGGTCTTCATCTTGCCAGGGTTTAGAATCAGTTTACAAGTCATCATCTACTATATTATGGCTGTTGTTCAAGACCACACCACCTTGTAAAAATGCATTCACAATTTTTTGATTCCATCCAGTTACCCGACATGCTAGATAGAATATGACAATTTGTGTGGCAGACTAGGCAGGTACGATTATTTTGATCATTCATTTCCTTAGGACTTCTAAACTGAAAATGATCCCTTATTTTTGAGCAAAATTATGTACCAGATATGCTCAATGTCTATGTACTGTGTCAAAATCAGTGTTCCAGTTGAATGAATACAGGTGATTCATCTTCAAAGAGTCACTAATCTGTTATAGCACATAACTTTCCAATTCTTTAAATGTTTCCAGACAACTTAATAAGCCAGGATATTGAGGATAGGGAAAACAACAATTATAGTACTGCATGTATCTTAATCAGTATCATAAATAAGCCAACAAAGATTTGTGTATGTTTGTGCATGCATGTCTTTGTAATGATGAAATAATACTCATAATTTGGGAAATGGAACACACTGCTGTCAGAAGTAAGTCTTCATCCTGGTTCATCCAAGCCGGGAATATTATCATTATTATTATTATTATTAAATAAGCAACATGGCGACTGCTTTGGGAAGATGTTTACAGTTTATTGCAGAAGCAGAAAGATGGTTCTTCAGGAAAGAGCAGAGGAGAGAAGAAGAAAGGACCACATGGGCAGTAGCTTTTTATACCCTCTCTAGCTTTTTGTTTGGAAGTTTTCCTGTTCCTGTGGCATGAACTTTGAGGCTATTTCCTGTGTCACGTATTCTGACCTGAGCCCAGGTGTGCCTCTCTGGTATTACTTGATGGTAATGGTTAGTCCTATTATGTCCCAAAAGTCATCTCCTGCTTCCCTGGTGATGGGACTAATGACTCCTAGAGTTTGGGTGGGGTATGCAGATTTTCTCTTTATCTTCTTGAGCTCCCTGGCTCCAACCTTCCTGATGGTTTTACATCTGCATTTGTATAGGGCTAGCTACTGCTTGGGGCAAAGAAATTTGGGGCCAGGTTTGGTTTCTGCTTTTCAAAAAATGCTTTTAAAAATCCTTTTGGTGAAAAATATATTTTCCTGCCTTTTTAATATTTCCTTCTCTGGGCTAGCTTCCCTCACTGCCTAACAACTCTTTATCAATTGTCACATGCTGAACTAAGTTTCAGATAGCCTATTGTTTTATTGATGACATTGGAAACCACTCCAGCAGTCCTGCTGTTTTATAAGGCCTCTTTTTTTTCTTCATTCTTTTCTAGTTGCTTCTCATATAAGAAGGTATTTTGGTCCTGCTTTGAGCAGTCTCTTTTAACTAGGAATTTTTGAATACTGACATTTTTTTTCCATTTTGCTATTCAGACTGTTGTTTGCAGAGTTTGAAAGAACTAGCTATCTCCTCACTGCATCAATAGACACAACTTTTTGTTCTAGCAAAATATGACAGAAAGGTTGGATCTGTCAAGTGGTTGTAATTTTTTTAACCTCTCAGACTTTAACTCCACGTCTGCCTTTTTATTTTTTTCTCTAGATGAAAGGGAAATATTAGAAATCCATGATAACAGGATTATTTAGGCAGATTTGGAAGGGGCTTGCTATTTCTAACCACTTTATATTCCTTCTTCCCATTTGTGGCTATGAATGAAAACTATAGAGGTTACTTTTTCATATGAGTTCTTTCTCATCTAAGAGAGTTAGTAACTCCTGGACAAGTAGATTATATTTGATAAGTTAATTGAAATCCACCTCATAATTTAATTAAATAAGTGGTAAATTGAAGAAGATATCTGCTCTGGACAGTTCTAGATATGTGACATATCTTACTGATGGTTACAAAATATTTGTTATTTTAGAAAAATCTTAGGTTTAATTGCTGACATAGTAACTATTTGACAACATCTGTGTATATTATATGCATTAGGACTATTTTCTTCATATATTAATGATTTTTTTTCTAGAATAAAGAGACAAATGTACTCAAAATATATTTCTGTTGTTATTTCCTGTGACACAGATGATTTATGAAAACCTTATATACTGGCGGATATAATCAACCAATATGAAAGTGTTAAATCCTGTGTAATGGAAATGATAATTATTTTCCACAGGCGTCTGTCTTTTTAGATACATAACAAATAAATTGAAAAACAATAAAAAAATTTACACAGCTAAATGTTATCACGACAGACTGTTAGCTATTTAAAATGGAAATAACATAAAATAGCATAGTATGTTCTAGTGCATATTAGGTGAAGGAGAGTAAGAGGCTTAGGGAGCAAGTCCCATGAGAAAAGATTCAAACAAGATAAACATATTTATTCCACACAAGAAAACAATTAAGATAGTATATTATGAGATATGCTAAAATACATGTATTTTGTTTTATATTGCTCCAGAGTTAAAGATTTGAAGCAATAGATTGTACTTCAAATAAAAATAATATGAAATTAATAGTAGGAAGAACTTCTTGATAGTATAAACCGATAAGAGAGTTTTTAAAGCCAAAGTAATATGATTACTTGTTTAACATAATACAGCACTGGATATTCTGGAATTGGACTCAGTGACTTTTGAAGTCCTTTCCAACTCCTTGATCCTTGAAATGGTTTCACCCCCAAACCCCATAACTGTAAAATGATTAGCATTTCTTTATGAAAGACTTTGGAAACTGATATTCTCGTTGATTTTCTGTCATTAGTGTTAATGTTCCTGAACTATTTCATTTCTCTAAAGAAAAATCATTGCACAAACAAACATGTTATCTGGAAAAATACTTCATTTATTTTTATAGAGATGTATTCTTCACAGTTCATCAAGCCATTTCAATTCACATTATAGCACATTAAATTATGGTTAAAATGAATTGAAAAAAACACTTGAGTACATTATAATTTAAAAGTGTAAAAGCCATTAGCAGAAAAAAGAAGATGGTAACTAAAAAAGCCTGGCACTGAAATTATATAAAAAATATAGACATCTATAAGACTCAGTTAGAGACCATTATACTTCTATTTCAAAAATGTAATGTAAGGATGCACTTAGTTATTTGGATAACCTTTTTTAAAGTTACAATTGTATCAAGTTTAACAATGTAATTTAAGTTAAAAGAATGTATACAATTTTTACAATTTCTGTCTCTTTTTTGCATTCTAGTATATTTTTTAATATTAATAACTTGCCAATGTTTTTACTAAAGAAACGGGGGAAATGACCAAACTCTATATCGGCTTTGCTTTTAGCAAGAAAATGAATTGGTGGAATTAATCAAACATTTTTATGATGTTTTTCTCTTTTAAACTGTAACCCATTTAAAGTTCTAGATATTATGCATTCTATTTTTCACATATAAACCAAAAAGAAAACATTTTATAAGAGGTCCCTAAATTCATCTGCGTGCTACCTGCAACTATTGATCAAAATGTAAAATTCTGTTGTAAAAACACCATCAGGAAAAAACTATATGTACTTGTATCTGTTCTTCTATAGTGACCAACACACTTCACTCAAATAAAATTATACAATTCAGACAATTGTTGGCTTCTTGGTGTCCTCTGAGCTTTCTTTTCTTCCTGCAGACATTTCATTTGCAGGCTAGGTGACATCATTGCATGGAGGAACAGAGTGTGCAGGTTTCTGTTACGCAGAAATACATATGGAGAAACAGAAAATCAAAGAAGACTAGAGACCCAACAATTCAGCCCTGAAGTACACAGTCTTCTTTAAAAATACAATTTTAGTAAATACAAAGTCTTCTGAGAGGGCATATGCTATTAAGGTGACAGATCTTTCCAAACTTTGCCCCTTGCTTGGACGTGATGTAGCATGATGATAAGTTAAGCATGTGGCTTACTTATTAAATAATAATTGGTGATTATTCTGAATGCTTATGCCATTTGTTAACCAAATCTGTTACATTAAAGCGTATACTCCATGAGATTTAAATATATTTTTGTGTTTTTAAGAGTCACTTATAGCAATGATATTGAATAATACAAACAATTTAGTATTTTATAAACATCAAAGACCCTTGCATTTATGACTCAAATATAGCAAGTTAAATAGTGCTAATAAAGGAAAACTGTTAAAATGAAAATATAATGAGGTACTGCATTATGGAAAAAGCTATCACATTTTTCTGGTATAAGCTTTTCAGATTTCCACTTCATCAGGGGCATAAAGTGAACATTTGCAGAGACACATATATGTACCCAGTACATGAAAAGATAATACAAGTATGTATGCATTTTACAAAATGTGCCTTTTACACAGAGGCAAGCAAGCAAGCAAGTAGAAATTGGCATTAAATTTGTCACATCCAAAGTACAAATGAACACAGAATCCAGTCAAGTGAATAGAAGAGTTTGTATGGGTGTGATCCATAGAACGCCCCCACTGGAATGGAGTGAACAGATTAATCAGGCAAGACGTTAATGTAATCTTCAGCATCATCTGGAGAGAGGATAAGAAAAAGGTTATCATTACATTTCTCTAAATTTCAGTGCAAAAAGCATTAGTATCATTCACATTCACAACATGGTGCTTAAATAATCACTGTTGATTTAAACACACAGTACAAAGATAATTTACTGCATAAGACTCAATAGAATGAGGATTCCGTCTATTACATGACTACCTTGCATTATACAATCCCAGGGGGCAGAAACTTGAATGTAGAACAGAAATCTATAGCAAAGAAGTAAGATAATTTCTTTTTCACTTCAGACACCTTCCTACTTTTGCTCCTTTAAATTCTGGTTGAATTATTATGTTTTCAATGTTATATGTAACTAAAGTTTAAATCTTAGTGGCTTCTATCTCTCTATGGCATGTTTTATCACCCTTCCACAGCAAATAACTTTTATCACAATGTCTCCAACACTTTCCCTTCACTTTTCCCCAGTCCTATAGAGATGTGTATAGCTATTTCATTTTGTAGGATTGTGTCTCCTCCATTTGTAGTGCCTCAATATAGGAAAGCAACACTTCCAATCAAAAGTGTCAGAGGTCAGTTTGCTTTGGCAGGAATTACTCTTCTTCACTCAGCAATACAACGTAGTATCACTCCAATGTGACACTTAGAAGTAGAGTGCCTTTTCACACTCTGGAGGGGCATTGAAGTATTAAAGCCAAAACAAAGCTGTTTTTTTTTTAAAAAAATAATAATTTGCATACACCTACTATCCATATTGTACTTTGCTTCTCTTTTTTATTTTGAAACTGACATAAAAGGAGCTTTTTTTCACTGTAAAGATGAATGAGATTATTTATAACAACGTGAATTTAAATTTAATCTGCTTAGGTACTGCCTGACTCCAGAATTTCTCTGATGGCTTATAATATGGCAATGCATAAAATGCAAATACAACTCAAAAAGACAAAACTACCAACGACAAAAATAGGATAAGTATAATTTAAATAAAAAGTTGGTTCATTTAGATTTTAAAAAAATGTATCAACAAACTTTAATCACCCTAGTCCAAGGCCTTAGGCTCTCCAGAACACTAAAAGGGTGGGAACCATCCAGATTTCAGGGGGATCATTGTTCCGGGGGCAGACAATACAACAGACAAGGCCATACATATCAGTTTATAACACTGTATTATAAAGTATTCTGCTAACTGCCTTTAGTTGTTTGTGACTAATAGTTCCATTTTTGACATAAATAAATTTTAAAGGACTTCTTTCACATGTTCAGTGCCTTTAAAAATATAGAGTAGACTTCTGTTAGACTGCTACATTATTTAGCCCAATATTGTTCTCTTCCTGATGTATGTTATAACATTTCAGTTTGCCAGCAGTTCGATCCTGACCAACTGAAGGTTGACTCTGTTTAATCCTTCCGAGATTGGTAAAATGAGGACCCAGATTGTTGGGGGCAATATGCTGGCTCTGTAAATTGTTTAAAGAGGGCTGTAAAGCACTATGAAGCGGTATATAAGTCTAAGTGCTATTGCTAGCTACTATGCTTTTATGCAGGTGAACCCTGACTTACAATCACAGCTAAGACCAGATTTTCCATTGGTTAAGTGAGCACATGCCTGATTTTTATGATAATTTTTTCATGATTATTAAGTGAAATCACTGCAGTCATTATGTGAATCATGGTTGATAAGCAAATCTGGCTTCACCCATTGACTCAGCTTGTTGGCTGGAAAGGTTACAAAGAGCTATTTATTTATTTATTTATTTATTTGCCCCCTTCTCATTTTGAAACAGTCACATGACCTGGGCTAAGGAAAGTGTCATAAATAATGCCAGTTGCCAAGTGCCCCAATTTTGATCATGTGACTAGAGCAGGGCTTTTCAACTGGTGGTATGCGTACCACATGTACTTTGCCACGTGGCAGGTGGTACGCGACTGCTAGCCAAGTGTAGCAGGGGAGGGGAATGAGCCTAAGCGAGCAAAGCCTGAGGGAGAGGCAGCTGCATGACTGTCTGGGCTTGGCAGAAGCCCCAGGAGCCGGCAGGGCTCCAGCTGATTGGCTCCAGCTGATTGGTGCTTCCAGAAGCAGCTGGAGCTGGAGGTGAACGGAAGAAAAAGGGGGAGGGAAAGAGAGGAGAGGCTATAAAAGAATGTGGTTTGGGTGGGGGAAGGGGAAAAAAGACAACAGGAAAGGTTTAATCCCTTTAAACAAATGTAATTAGTTTTACCCCCTTTAAATGAGTCTGTCTATGGCTTTTAGAAAGTTTTCTTTGAAGGTAAACAGGTTTAATTTAAAGCTAAAGCTTTTTGCAATTGCCAGAGCCTTTCAGTCCAGGATTGCAACATTGTGACACGTGACACGCCTCAAGCAGCTTAAGAAAAAAAATGGAGTTTGTGTTTATTTTCTTGCTTTACACTTGAATCCTGTGTCTTTAAGGGTACAGAGAAGGGATGGGGGGTGCAGTCTTACTACACTGTGGAAGAGCTCAGAAGGGAGAGAGAAAGAAGGGCCAACCAGCTAGCTCATGAAGGCTGAGGAATTCTGGGAGTTGAAGTCCACAAGTCTTAAAAGTGCCAAGTTTGAAGACCCCTGAACTAGCTGGTAATGGTGCATATTAATAAACATGGATAAATTCATCATACATTTGTCAGTGCAAAGGGAAAGTGATTCAGCAAAGGAACAGCCACTGGAGAAATTAAAACTGGTACTTTGTTTTCTTTTTTTCTACAGTTTGTAATATTTTATTAGATTATAGAATAAACTACAAAAGCAAATAGTAGGACACAGTGGGGAGGAAAAGGGGGAAAAGTGATGGGGAGAAGGGAAAAAGAACAGACTTCCTCTGTTGCAGTAGAAGGAAGCATTAACACTGAACCTCAACTTTTTACTTTTCCATAATATTATAAACTAGCCATTTCTGTAACAACAAATGAATCTAATCAGTAAAACCCAAACGCCCCCCTTTTTTTTAGTCATCAAGTTTTTGACACCTTGCTAAGCACTGGTGGTATTCGAATATTGTCATGTCCTAAAAGTGGTACAATCTGTGAAAAGGTTGAAAAGCCCTAGATTAAAGGGTACTGCAACAGTCATAAGTCACTTTTTTCAGTACCATTGTAACTTGATGCTTGCTAAACAAATGATTTTAAGTCAAAGATCACCCGTACCTTTTCTTTAGGATTTGACCTTGATAATGCAAAGTATATATGTGACCACTGACCTACATGGCATAGTCAGATGTTAAAGTACTCTCCATCAGTCCTTCAACCAGGCGAAAAGTATGTGGGCACAAAATTTTTTGCCTTAATTGCCAAGCAATTAATAATGAGGCTGGTGCTGTCCTTATTGTTTTAATGTGGAACAAGTTAAGAAGATGTCTGTAGTTTTATTGCCCTCACACTCCACTATGTCTGCCCAATAGCAGGATCACAATCACAACCATTCAACAACCCCACAGCCTTGTGGGAAGTCACCCCCTCCCAGAGAAAGAAATATTCTTGGAAATATTTAAAAGGCAGAATATATTTCCCTAAAGGGTTTTAAAGGCAGAAACCAACCCCCCCCCACAAGTCTCTCTGTCCCAAACAAAAACCAAGTCTGCAGAAATGCAGATGTGATAATCTTGTCAGAAAGACTGGAGTCAAGAAACTGCGATTAGGAAGAAAGATCCCTAGAATCAACAATCCGTCACACCAAAAATCTAAGAGTCATCAGCCACAGCCACAGGGAAGCAGGATATGACCTTTGGGACATAATAGGATTAATCCACCACCATCAGAATACCAGAAAGGCACACTCAGACTCAGGTCAAAGTTCATGCCACAAGAACAACTCCAAACAAAAGGCTCGAGAGGGTATAAAAATCCACTCCCTATATGTGCTCACTCTCTTTTCTTCCAGAGCCATCTTTCTGTTTGGCTCTTCTCTTCAATAAACTGCAACCTTCTTTCTAAAGCAGTTGTCATGTTGTTTATTCCCGGCTTGGACTGAACTCTGATGAAGACTTTTCCTTCAATAATTTGGCACCCCAGATGGGACTCCAAGCTAACCTCTCCAATGGACTGAGACTGGTAAGCCCCATCTTTCCCGCAGTAGACCCCTTGTGCCAGCCCTTGTGTCTGTGGATGGGTTTCCCAGGCCTGCCCATGTGGAGCCAGGGTAGTAAAGGGAGTTTTGGGTTTGAACTTTGGGTAGAAGGTGAAGGTGAGTACCTCTAAATTTTAACTTTCAAGCCCAGAGGAGCAAAGGAAGTGTGTGTGTGTGTGAGAAGACCCTTTTCCCAATCACAGTTGGATTTTGCTCCCTCTGGTCTTTCCTAACTGCAGAAAGGATCTGTTCAAGTGGCAGACCCTGGAAAGCATAGGGGTTTAGCCAGAGTGCAGGACCTTTTGTTAGGGAAAAGGGAGAGGCTGTGTGAAAATGGAATGGAATGAGTGAATGAGAGAATTGGATTTGGGCAACCAGCTGGTTAAGCCCTGTAAGCAAAGCCCGAAGTTAGGAAATTAGGCCCTGGGATAGGAGCATCCCTTACCTCTGGAAAGCAAGCAGAGGTCCTCCCAGACACCACAGAGGTCCTCCCAGACACCACAGTGGTGGTGAAAAGTGAAGGTAAAGCCAGTAAGAGAGCATCTCGTACCTTCTGCAGGAGAGCAGAAGAGTCCTCAACAGACCCCCTTTTGGTCTGAAACCGTGGTAGATCCCTAAAGGAGCATCCAGTACTCTGTGAGGGATCTAGAGTCCTCCATGGGTCCCTTTTTGACCCAAAACTGTGGTGGTAGGTGGAAGTCTCACTAGGAGGCTTCAGTGCGCCGGACCCAATAGAACCAAAGTGAACCCCTGCATCAGGAATAAGGGAATCATGGGGTGTTCTAGTTCAAGGGTCAAGATAGGCTCCCCAGTAAAAGCTTGTTTAAGGCCTGGGATGGGAATCAGCTACCTGTTCAGGCAGGTATGAAAAAGAGATAGGTAGAGAAACTATAAAAAATGGACTTTACTAAAGGCTTTTGCTGGGAAACAATTTGGCTAAATAAAGGTACTTAAAGGGAAAATAAGAAATAGTGACTCTCTCTCTCTCTCTCTCTCTCTCTCTCTCTCTCTCTCTCTCTCTCTCTCTCTCTCTCTCTCTCTCTCTCTCTCTCTCTCTCTGCAACCACGTGGTATGTTTAACATTTGTGCCTTGCCTAATTTGAGTTCACTGAGATTTATGGTGGGAATGACTAGTATGTGTAGAACTGAAAGTTCTGTTTCCTTTTCTGTTCTCTTGCCTTTGTGTATATATGTGTGTCAAAGTCTTTGTGTGTGAGGTAAATGTGACTGTTAATTGTTTCTAATCCAAATAGAAAAGAATTTTAAAATTCTGCTAGAAATTCTGCTTAAATTAAGCCATCAAAAGTAAAATATCCTCACTCTGTTTGTCTGGCCAACAGAGTGAAGAAAAAAGAATATTTTCCCCCTCTCCTTTCTCTCTCTGTACTCTTAAGAACAGCCCAATGTTACCAGGAGGGAATGTTTTAAGTTCATCTGCTGGAAAAGTTTTACTCTTGCATTTACTGTATTGTTGTAAATGGGTTTTATCTATCTATCCTTTTCCTGAAACATGACCAGCATTTTTCAAGTTGCAAGTCTTTAAGCCCTAACATGTTGCAAATGTTCAGTTCAGAAATGAGACCTTTCATTTATGTTCTCTTACCAGAATCCAGCTTTCTTTTGTTATCATCTGTGATTTCTCATTTTGTCTGGCTATCTGTTTCTTTAACCACTGCAGTATTAATGCCTTTTCAAATTCTGTCTGCAAGCTACCCCCTCCCCAATTCTACTTCTCCTTTTCTACTTCTCCTTTTCTTATCCTCTGTTCTCCGTGCCTCTGTCTACTTCTCCTGGGAGAGTCCACCCAGAAAGGGGGAAGGAGATCTTGTTCTCATATCTTTCAGCCCTGCATATATGACTCAACAACCTTTTGGAAGCAGACCACACTGACTCAGATGCTGCCTCCATCCATTTGAGCCATGGAATTGGGTTTTGAATCCAGCCAGCCACTAAAAAGCCACCATGCAACCTGAGTGGAACAGATTTTCCCAAGTCCTACCATTCCCCCAGATGCCTGTGAAAACTGCAGAGGAAGGAAGGAGCCCTGGAGCCATTAGTCCCCATATGACCTCTCAGAAGAAAATTAGGAAGACTATGGGGGGAGGGTGGAAACTCATTGTAAGGTTTTCTTTCTTGCCCCATTTGTGTTGTAATTAAGCAGTTGAATGTATTTATGGAGTGATGGTATTTGGGAATAGTTGGTACAGCAAGTACTGAACACCTTGGACTTCGGTCTGGTAGGAAGGAAAATTTGTCCAGGATGCTTGTATTGTGGAAGTAGCTGCACGCAGACACACACACACACACACACACACCATTCATAATCACATTGAGTCTATCTCTTTCACCTACCTTCAGTAAAACTCCAGCCTAATTCTTGCCCTGTGTCATTAAAACTTTGCATGTACAACTTACTGCAAATTCCAAGGGGGAGGGAACCAGGCCCCCTCAGGAGATTTGCAATTCATATGGCCTGACTAGGGAAGTAGCATAAAAGAGATCTCCAAACCTAAGCCCTGGATATCTTGCACTGGTGGACTCAGATTGGGAGTCCTAGAGCTCACTATGTGCAATTTAAGAAAATTTAATAGCCTGGCTTGCATACTGGCTAACCTCAATTAGACATCACTAACCTGGATGAACTGAACTAAGAGTTAAGGCAGGAAACAACCCTTGAAAATGGGCAGCCAGTGGTTATGTATTGAGGCAAACCATGGCTGTGAAGAATTTTGAGAGGCATGTGCTTCAAAACCTGGCTGGAAGCTCAAAGTGACATCCAACATTTAAAAAGAATTGGCACAGAATATTGGACACTATAAATTTCTTTTACATCTAACAGAACTTTTGCCCTGGCTTTAGACCTTCATGGTTGAACTCTATTAGTCCCTCCCTTTTTTTTTTGCATTAACAGTTTAAAACTTGTTTACCAAGTCTCCCTGATCAAATCAATTTTAACCTTGTGCCATTAAAAGTGTGTCACCCACATTCTTATGGCACAAAGGGGGTATTTGTGGGATGTAAGCCCCCCCCCGAGAAAGAAATATTCTTGGAAATATTTAAAAGGCAGAATATATTCCCTAAAGGGTTTAAAGGCAGAAACCAACACACACACCCCAAGTCTCTCTGTCCCAAACAGAAACCAAGTCTGCAGAAATGCAGATGTGATAATCTTGTCAGAAAGACTGGAGTCAGGAAACTGGGATTAGGAAGAAAGATCCCTAGAATCAACAATCCCTCACACCAAAAACCTAAGAGTCATCAGCCACAGCCACAGGGAAGCAGGATATGATCTTTGGGACATAATAGGATTAACCCACCACCATCAGAATACCAGAAAGGCACACTCAGACTCAGGTCAAAGTTCATGCCACAGGAACAACTCCAAACAAAAGGCTCCAGAGGGTATAAAAACCCACTCCCTACATGTGCTCACTCTCTTTTCTTCCTGAGCCATCTTTCTGTCTGGCTCTCCTCTTCAATAAACTGCAATTTTCTTTCTAAAGCAGTCGCCATGTTGTTTATTCCCGGCTTGGACTGAACCATGATGAAGACTTTCCTTCAACAGGTTGTACTTGAAATAGTGAGTTTAACAACCTAGCATGTTGCCCATTTAATAGGAGACAGGAGACAGTTGTGTACTTGCTTGAAATGTTGCCAGCTCATATTGGCTCACGGGACCCAGAGAGGAGCCATTGTTGAGTTTTCGGACTGAACCTAAACTGTTAATTCCTGCAAATTGAAGATTTTTTTCTATCCAAACAAGATATGGCAGCTATGGCTAGGAAAACTTTTGCACATTTTGGGTCGTGCTCCAGTTGTGCTCATTCCTGGAGAGGGGTCCTGTTCACTGTCATCCATGTCTTTGTAACCTCCTGCTTAGATTAGTGTAATGTGCTTTAAAGAGCATTCAGAAACTTCAGCTGGTATAAAATGCAGCTACATGGATAATAAATGGTGCCGGTTGCATGGCACGTGTAAAATCACTACTACATGAGCTGCACTAGTTGCTGGTGTTTTTCCAGGTGCAATTCAAGACGCTGATTGTCATTTTTAAAGCCCTACATAGCTTGGTACTGGATTACCCGAGGGAGTGCCTTTTCCCAAGCATTCCTACCCATTCAACTCAATTAAACAGATTGGGAATGCTGCAGATCCCATCAGCCAAGGAGTGTCAGCTGGAGGGAACAATAAGACAGGGATTTTTCTGCTATACCCCTGTATTATGGAATACTCAGAATAGCCTCAACTTTTTTGCCCTTTTGCTAAGCTTTAAAACCTTGGCTATGCCTGGAGCTCGGAATGTGTTAAGGATCCTGTTACTTGGCTTTACTATTAATAGATTAATTATATCAGTTACTGTTTTTACTATTTTGTGGATGTTCTTATTGTTTTAATGTTTATTATTTTAATAGTTTTATATTTTTAGAATTGTAAGCTACTCAGAGTCACTTGGTTGAATTGAGAAGTTATAGAAATTGAATAAAATAAATATCTGACATGAATTAATTTTACTGGTAAATCTGAAAGCAGTTAATTTTTACTAATTTACCAATCTGCCTAAATTTCATAGGCTCCCTCTAAATAAACTCCATTTTGTTGAGGGACCAGTGTGCACGCATTTTGCACTATAAGGGGAATGAAATATTGATAGCTATTCAGTGAGAGTCTTCTGACTAGAATTCCATTTAGGGAAAGTTGTTATTGCAAGCAGAAGCAAGCTCTGGACCCACTATTGATTTTGACCAATACTGCTAATTTAAATGCTGAAATTCTATTGATAATAGGATAGGCATTTCTGCTATGGCTGTGAAAAGGCTCTGATCTACTCTGAAGGCTAGATCTGGGCCAAAAATAACACATCTCATTGGTTCATGCAAAGGAAGAGCCATGCATTCTATCACACCAGATCTGGTATATGACTGATGTGACAATAATCTGAATACCAAATCCACAGCCAATGCTTTCCTAAAATGATGTTAGTTCTGGAGAATAATAGTTAACAGCCCCACAATGCTTTAAAAATATATGCCATCACTTCACCTAAGAGGTGCTAAGAAAAGAAATGCCCATATTTTTATAACAATCCTCTAAAGGATTCTTCTAGGCATATTGGAATGTCTTTCTTTCTTTCTTTCTTTCTTTCTTTCTTTCTTTCTTTCTTTCTTTCTTTCTTTCTTTCTTTCTTTCTTTCTTTCTTTCTTTCTCTGTCTCTGGTCTTTCATAGAAGTAATCTTTAGTAGTCTGTGCTGATGGATTCTTAATTTGAAATATATAAATATTTTACCACCTTTATAATTACTTGTCTCTTACCAGGATTCTCATATGCTTCCTTTTTAGTGACGTACACAGTCTGAGTTTCTTGATAGTACGGACAACGATTTACAGGGTAGCACAGATGGATTACTAGGCCTTGATTTGGCTTTTTGTAGTTGTCAATTAAATCTTTTAATGTTCTGAAGACGTATCTCGGAGTACCTTCAGATGTCTAAAATATAAGCACATTGAAGCTAAATTTATTTTGTATCCAAACAATAAGTAATGACTAAAATAGATTCTTTTCAGATATGATTATAGCTAATGTAGCATATTTTAAAAAATATCCTCAAACTATAACCGTCAGCATCTTTTTATATTAATATAGAATCAGAATTAAGCAACATTATTCATCACAATTTAAAATACATAAAGTTGAAAAAATAAGATAATCTAAGCACATTCTAGTTTAACATGCTTCTCCCACTTCCAACTGGTAAAATTGTACAAATGTCTTGTAGGTATCTATTAAAATTATATTTCTTTACATTTAACGAATAAGAAATAGATTATACATTTTCTTACCTGCATCATAAAATGTCCATTACTTTTCCTGAAGATTCGGTAAGTGTAGATAAGATGTTCATAACTAATTTTTAGAACAAAAGGTGTATTAGCAAAATGTTATGTTTGTGAACTGGGAAAGTAAAATACACTGAAGAATCATATGCCTAAAACTGTTAACCATAAAGAGAAATATGCAGAATATGTATAAATTTATCACTGGTAAACAGAACTGTAACTAATAAAGTTTTAGTTTTCTAGAAATAGATATCAGCTAAGTAAATAGAAACTTTTCTCTGATGGAAAAATTCTGAGCAAATATATGAATTAACATCACCAGAGCAAGTAAAAATATGGTCCACCATTCTGGAGGAGGAAAAAAATAATGTAATATATTTTTACTGACAAGTTAAAACATTTATATTTGGTAGACATCCTAAGTCAGTATAGAACAATTACATATACTTGATTCTAAATAATTTTTATAAATGCAAATTTCTAGTAGCAATGGCAATTGCCATCATACAACTGGTTGAATTCATACATGAGAACTGGCTTCCATATATGCTATATACATTATCCTATATACGTATCTAATTCTATACCACACATCGTTTGAAGAAGAGATGTTGAAAGCTGGTAGATAAAAATATCCTGATTAAATATATGTTGTAAGGATTGATCTTGAATCTGTAATTATTTGAAATGTATTACTTCCAAAACCAGCATACTATTTTATTATCTATTTATTTCTATATTTAAATTTGGGCTAGAAATACACTGCAGCTTATAATAAAGCAGAATCAGTATTATGCATACTCCAACTAGGTATACAGTATGTACCTGGAACAATTTTCTCATTTTCTGAAAACAGATGGTAGTTGGTTCTCAAAAGTGCAAGCATCTAAAAACACAACTCAGTCCATAAAAGCAAGCTCTTCTTTATACAATACCAGATTCAGTTAAACATTTGCATTTCTTCTAATTGAATCCTTTCCTTTAACCAATAAAAGCTATCTTAGTTACATGAAAGTGGAAGTACTTACAAAACACACAGGCAAAGAGCTCCTGGTACGCTCTCACTGTCTCGTAGTAAAAAACTTCCATTTATTCCCACTTTGCTCAGTAATTCTTCACACTTTTCTTTAGTTATATTTCCATGAAAATATTGAAATTCCATTTATGTATAAAGCTGTTTGCAGATTAATTCTTAAGATTCAGCTAAAAATATGACCTGTTCTCTACTGAACTGTGGAACAAAGAATATTAAAACTGTTAAGTGTGCAATCTCTATTGTACGATTTGTTGTTTCCCTTATGCAAAACGGAGGAGGCTAACACAGGAAGTACTAACTGATAAATAGGTTAGTCATCACCTTAGCTGTTAAAACAAAGACTTTCATTTCTCTGGATTTTAATTAGCTTTGTGGAATAGGAGGATATGCAAGCCCTAATCAACTTATTATAATCCATCTAATATCTTGTAAGGAAATATGACACAGGAATGTTGAATCTTTCATACCTGTATAATAACGTAGTCATAATAACTCCATAAAATAGTCTGCTGAATTCCATGTTTGCAAAAAAAAAAATTCTTCCATCCTCACAAAGAAGCAAAGTTATCAGCAGCAGGCCACTATCTATAATTGAGATATTTTGCAAAGAATTCCAAAAGAAAGAAGAAAAGATATAAAGAAGGAAAACAAAAAATCCATAATTTCAAGGTGATATAAAAAGATTAAAGATATAGTTTGGAAATATCTAAAAAGGACAACCATGGGTAAACCCTATGACACAAGATTAAAAAAACATATAGTTAAAGAATTACAGAATTTTTGGTTCAATATAAAAATAGAATGACCTTTTTTATTTAGAATAAATGAATCAAATATTTTATATACAATCTTTAGAAAATGAATTATGTGTTCTATAAGTATAGAATAATTTATGTATTTAATAAATTAAGTTAGAAAGTTTCATTTTCAACAAATAGTTGTTAGACTTAGCTAACTTAGAAGAATAAGTATTAATAAGGTGTACTGTGTTTGTGACACTACTCTAATAGCTGAAGATATAAATGTTCTGCATGCTCCAGTCCTGGAGCACAGTGACAAAAATGAGATTACAATTAAATATAAAGAAGGTAAAGTAACCAGCCTTAGAATCAACAGAGAAGATCCTGATATAGTGCACACTTCTGCCTTTTACAATTAACTGTCAATCAGCAATCAAGATTTTCTGGATCATGTTACTCATGCTCTGATCATCTCCTGCTTGTGTGTATTGTATTGTAACATAAAAAAAATAGAAAAGAAAATATTGCAAAGAAAAATAACAATATAGTTTAAAAAAAACAAATATATAGAGAAATGGTTCTCCCCTCTTTCCCTAAAATAAAATTTTTAGTAACACATAACTTTCTCTTAAAATACAATAAATGCTCTCTTCTTTCCAAATTCCATCTCTTACTTATAAACAAATCCTTAAAACTTCAGCATTTCAGTCCTGATCAGCAAAATCCATTAAGAATTACTGGAGACAACGCCAAGCTATTTTAACCTTGATCAAATAAACCAACTTTATATCCCTTCCTTTTTACTTTTACTTTAGACCCTTAAAATAATGTTGAACTTGAGTTCTTTTCATTTTTTTCCCTTATTAATTTTTTTTCCAAAGCTCTAACAAGCACCTTTTGTAAAGCCATAAAAAAAACATCCAGGTGATTCTCTTGGCTTGTTATTTGTATACCCCTTTTAATTATTAAGACATAAGCCAGTTTCTTTTGTGTAGCATCTTTTTCTATATCATTCTTGTAGCCTGCTGTTTTTAAATCCACTTTCAAATCAGTCTCCATGTTTATCTGGTAAAACTTGTTCTTCTTACATAACATCTTTTAAGCATTCTTTTTTGTTGTTTTAAAATTTTATTGAAGTTTATCACAGCATAAAATACAATGAAAATGAAGATAACAAAAGGGGGGGACACTTTTTTTCCTCTTTCCCTTTTTTATTTTCTATCCTGTACTCTCCTCTCCTCTTTTCTAGAGGCAGACATTCTTAAAATTAATTTCTGAGTCTACTGTTCAAAAATATCATTCATTAAGTCCGATGTTAAAATATTTTGCTCCACGCTAAGTCAGATTTAAGCTTTCTTCTCCTTTAATCATAACCTATAGTTCCTTCTAGTTCCCTCTAGTGTCCAAACTTCAAAGTCCCATCCTATCATTTTTTTTTAAAGAATTCAAACCAAAAACATTTTTCTGGGGTTCCTAATAACTGAAAAGCAGTTAACAATTAGTTTGTGAAATTGATTAGAAAAGGAAGAATGCAAATCCAGTGTCCTTTTGAATGTGGCAATCATGCTTTCAGCAAAAATAACTATTCCCTCATCTTCTAGAACTCTAAATCCTCCATAGACTAGAAAATTGTGGGCAAGAGCAATTACTCTGGTCATTTGAGCCTTAAGAGAGGACTGGGTTGATCTGTTCAATGATCTATCAGTTCGTTTCCTTGGCTGTCCGTGGTTCGTGGGAGTCTTCTCCAACAACATAGTTCAAAACTGTCAATATCCTTCAGAAGTCTAACTTTTTCTTTCTTAGATTATCACAGAGAAAACCAATGCTTGCAATATTTTGATCTTTGTAGTTATAGACAGTTCACAACATTTGAATATCTTTTCCAAGGCCTTCATTGTTGTTCTATCAAGTAGTAGCCTGTGGCATATTTTTTGACTGCTTGTTTCTTACTGTTGATGGTTACTCCTAAACAGCTTTCATAGGCTGAGAGTTTAATAAGGCATTATACTGATTGATTCACATCAATCTTACAGCGCATAGCTCCTTCCCATATATGGAACAGATGCTGCAATATTATATAGTTTGCATATTTTGTAAAATAATTCCAGAAGCAGTAGAAAATCAATCAAAATTAATAAGAATTTTGAAAAGCTACAAAAGTGCTTTCAAACTATCTGATTCAATTTGCTATTTTAAAATAGCCCCCCACTTTGATTCACAGATCTACTTCAGTGCACTTATTTTATCAAAGCATGGCATCACTGCGCAAATAGTTCTGTAAATACATTGTATGTGGTTGTCAGTCTTGCGAGGCAAACCAGAAAGGAAATACAAGTAGATGAGTTAATTTACTTTATTGTAAAGCTACATTAACAGAATCTAGCAAATCTGAAAGTACATCCCTCGCCCATTTCCCCCCCACTTAAGATACAAGAGAGATTCTCTTCTGAACCTGTTGCCCTGCCCATTATCTGGCTCCAGGCTATGCTGTCTGTTATCTGATGATTCCCTTGGCAGCAATCCTTTGGTCAGTCTTCCAAGTTCATTCCCACATACCTTTACATGGTTAATTAATAACATCAAGAGAGGCTTTGGGGCATTTTTAAGGTTTAACAAATGTATTACGGCATAAACCTTTTCATTTGCTTCCTGAAAGATAATAGATACTGTTTATGCACATGGTGATGCTTTGTGGGGTTTTTTTGTATGTGAGGAAAGATTTGTTAGCAATAAAATCAAAGGAAGTAAAATGCAAAATGCACTGACAGATATTCAATATTTGTTAAATTATTCATCATAATCTACAAAGAATTTCTAATCAGAACAAAACTAATAACACTGTAATTAAGAGTAATCTAATAAAACCCCAATTTTGATTAAGGGCAAATCCACAAAATGAACTATTTTTGTAGTTCAAATGTTTCATACAAATATTTAGTTTTGAAATGCTTCATTTACTGTATGTATGGTTGTTTAATGTTAATAAACATATTGAACATTGAAATTCTTTCCTGCTACTTTCTCAATATTATTTCAGAGCTCTAATTTATGTCCTTTTTTCAAGCTGGCCATTGTATCCTATTCAAAATTCACATTGCTTCTTAATCATAGCTGATAATATACTGTAGTGAAAGTTGTGCACATGAGCTATTCATTTGGGGCTGATTTTATTAGGAGATACAGTCATTTTGTTTGAAATATCTATGAAAAAATCTTATCTGATTTTATCCCAATGGATAATCCTTTATTGTATGATATGCAGCCTGTTGCTAGTGACTAGCTCCTTTGTTTCATAGGAGACATAGATGACCTATAGGTATTATTTTGAAAGAAGGACTATAGATCTTTTTAGAATTTGTGGGCTTTTTCTATAAAATAATACTCTTTGTCACCAGGTGCATTTCACAGCTGAGCCCAAGAAGAAGCCCTAAATATAGGCAATGGAAGGGACATTCATTGAGGTGAAAAGGTTTCACAGTGGAGAGTAGAATGGCAGACTCCATTCACTGGAATGGATATTTTTGTGATAAGTTCTAATATTTTCTCTGTCAAGTTTGTTCTGGAGTAAATTATTACTACATACTAGCCTGTAGAAGAAAACTAGATTTTCAAACATACAGTACCATTCAACCTACTAAAATTTTATTTCACTTGTAAGCATTTTTCTTTGTCATGCAAAATACGTAACTCTATTTTTTCTGGCCTCTCAATTTTACTGAATAACTTGTCACTAAGTTGTCACCTTAAGTTCTGTGAGACAAATTACTGCGAGACAAATCTATTAAAACATTTAGTTATTTTTAGCTATATCAATAGACAACGTAAGGTGTGGTTATGACCTACAGTTAGGCCTCTCATTATTTTGTTTCTCAATTGTTTCACTTTTGCTTCTTTTATTAATCTATGTACACAGGCTTGTGATAACTTTTTGCTAGATATTGCTGGGCTTAATTCACATATCACATATCTGAGCTGTGATATGTACGCTGGTCATAAAACTCAGTTGTTTACTTCTGTCATTTAATTATGCCATCATTTCAGCTGTCCTTTTATTTTTTTGAGTCCATGACTATAATAACAAATAAATGGACAAATAACAAATAAATAAGATTTATTTACAAGATTAATTCAGTTTACTAAGATTTGTTCCAAAAGTGTCCTTTCAGCATCTGTGCATTCAAAACGCTGTCTCTGCTTCTTGCATTTGACTTGCCTTGCTGCTGGCAGGCTACAGTTCAATGACATCAAAGGACAGAAATACTCTTTGCTTATGATGGACTTGAGAAAACAAGTGTGAACTGGGTTCTTAACTTTTCATCTACCACTCTACTTCCTGTTTGGAGTGATACCGTCTTACTTTCTAGCACAGTTGCGTCTTCCACCTCCCCCACTC